AAATTAGATTTTACAAGCATTTTGGTGTTATTAGTATTTAAAGTTGGATTTGATATATGTAAGAGATATATTTTCTAAAAGTTCTACCTTTTAAGATCCCACATTCTGACGGCATTTCCAGAGGCCGCATAGAGGAAAGTGCCGGTTGGATTTAGTGCAATCTGATTGATCTGGCTCTCTCCAGAAGGAATAGCTACTGTCCGGCTGCTGCTTGCAGAACAAGCTTCTCCAAGAGTAACTTGACCTGAAGATCTAGTAAGTAATCACAAAGTAAAATAAGTAATAACAAGACAAAATAAGTCATGTTTTCAGACATGAGCTTGGGTGGAAGCTTCCTAAATTCCCAAGAGCCTGGCTGTAGAGAACAGCAGGAGTTACTTGTGCTCAAGCCACACTCACAGTACCAGGCACAGCACCAAGCAGGTGGTCACACCATGAGTAAGTATTGGCCAATGGAGAGAACATGTGAATGAAGAAACCAGGGTGGTATCATTTAAATTCTTAATGTGTGTGTCTATGATGTTATGAACCCCAAGCCCTGAATTGGAGATGACTAAAACATCCTTTAAAAAATAATTCCAAAAAATAAAAAAATTAAAAAAAAAAAAATTCCATAGCCAAGATCTCAACAGATGAAGGCAGTGCCAGGAAGGCAGCTCAATCTGCTGCTGTTGGTAGGAGCCCTCTGCTGGCCTGGCTCACCAGGATCCATTTAGATACCAGGCAGGGTTAGCTCTAGGGACTAAGGACACTGAGACCTTCGAACTGTACTCAGCTTTTGTTTAATGGACTCTCTACTTTGTTTGGAAAAAAATAGCTATGGCTTACATATATTTTCCAAAAAATTTACATGATGAGATGTTTTTAATTTTGAAATATTTTCCTTGCTAAAAATCTAAAATAATGCGTTAAAACCAACCTCTTCAGATTTGACGTTAGCTGAGACCTTTCTAACTGGGGATTAGGCATTTTTCCTCTACAGAACTTCCCTTTGGGGGTTTCTATCCAGGACAGGAAACATTAGCTCTGAAGTAAGAAAATGTCTCTCAATACTCAACTATGAATTAGAAACCAAGTCAACATTCCCTTTTTTCATGTATACAATTATTGAGTTCACCTCAATCTTGATTATGAAAAATGGGTATTAATTTCATGACCAAAATAATAAATTGTTTTACAGTTTTAACACATTTATAACAACACAAATTGAGAAAAGACTCATGCCCCAACTGTCCTACATGATTGTAGTTATAAAGTCTGTGCTGGCTGGAAGTAGTGTCCATCCTAAAACACACTTGGTTATTTCAAGGATAGTTAGATTGCAAATCGTTCCTTACTACCAACAATGGTCAGTTTAGTCATCTTCCAAGGACTGATACTTCCTTAAATCACTAATCCTATAAGGTAGTAAGTAGTGCTCTCAAGCATTGCCTTAGCATTTGGAAAAGGGAGAGTATGACATCCACACATAGTAACAGATTAATCCAATCCATCTTTTTTCTTTTCATGGTCCATTCTTGGTTGTGTTCAACTTTTTCCTCCTTATTTTGTTTGTATTTTTATGGTGAACATTTAAATGTCCTCTGAGAAGTAGGTGATTTTTAAAAACTAAAGTATATAAATAGTCCCATATTTCCTAATGTTAAAAAGAACTGTGCTGTTTTCAAGGTACTTACGTTAATGTTCGAATACACTTTGCTGATTCTCTGATGTCCCACACCTTAATATAAGATGTTGACACTGTGAAGACCAGACTGGTATAATTGCAGTATTTTACCGATACAACATTGTTAGGGTGAACCCCTAGGGACATAATTTCCTGTCCAGTCACGAGATTCCAAACTTTACAAGTACGATCTAAAACAAACAGATAGAAGCAGAAGAAATGCTGTGAATGTCAACTATTTTAGGTTCTTTTAACAGCAAAAACTATTTAAACAGCATTACACCATGGGAACAAAACAGCAAAGGATGACGGTATTCTCCAGCTATTCTGCACTAGGCATCCCAGCACATCCTTGAATGTCTGTGGTAATTTCATAGGCAAGAGAGGTAAAGCGGATCTAACAGAAGTGAGGCATGACTGTCTGGTATCTGCCTTAACTGTTTTAGTTTCTTATAATGTAGCAAAGGGACTAACAGTGCAGGATTGGAGGTCTGTAAATCTAGTTTGAACTACTAGCTAAATTAACATGGGAAAAACATTTTGATATCTTGCGTTCCTTCATCTGTAATGTGAGGCTGCAACATGTGCCTCATGGGAGCTACTGAATTAACACATTTGTTTATACCATGCCTGACATGTTAATAAGAAATGGAGGTTGCTACAGTCTTTTGTCACATTGTATGTTGTAGTGGTCTTTTATAAATTTGTATACTGTCCAATACAAAAGCTAGAACACAGTATGCCATAAGGGTCAATCATTGAAGGGAGGTGCATTCTTTCCCCACTGTATTCACAAATATAAACAGTGGATTTACTCCCTTACTCACTATGCAACAATTTTAATATTTTACACAATTTAGGTATAAAACCAGCATATCAGACTCACTTGATTTAAGTAGTCTTTTAATGATCTGTTTAAAAGCTATTTTAAATATGTACATATGATCATTAGATGGTTACTAGCAGCTTTTACTTTTTAAGTTTACTTTTAATTGTGTGTGTGTGTGTGTGTGT